AAGCCTGTGGAAAATATATCATAAATAACATGAAGCTTTAATTACTTGCATGTATTATTGTAACATAATAGGAAAAGCCATTCATTCCCCATTATTTCTGAAAAAAAAAGTATTTCCAAATAATTATTGCAAAACCATAATTTATTAACTATACCAGAATTGTGAATATGCCAATTAAATGCTCTCCTGAAAAGCAAGTAAAATTAACTTACTTATTGATTAGTTTTACATTCATTTCTAGAAATCGGCATACTCTAATCAGCTAGAGCATAACATTGTTAGCTAAGAAGATGTGAAAGAAAAGTCATTCTCAGAGTATATCACAGAGTTCTATGTAGACTTTATAATAAAAGTAAAGCATGCTGTTGGAGATATTATTTGACATGTCTTTCATTTACGTACAACCATCTAACAAGATCTCCAGTATGATCATTGCCTACAGTTGTATAGATTGTTAAACTAATGAGGAAAATGATCTCTTGCCTAAAGTGTTTGTTCTGTTTCCACGTATTTGATAACAGAAGTGCCACCATAGGCTATCAGATTGGAATAATAAGTGTATTAAACATTCTGGACTTTAGTCATTTGACTGGAGAAGTACAACCTTTTTCAGGATTTATCATCTCATTATGTTCATATTAAATATCTGAGCTTTTCCTTCTATTTTAATTTATTTATTGTCATTGAAGTACCATTGTTCCATATTCTTGCCAGTGTTTTCACAGTACAGGATTTCACACTGTAGGACTGTAGGACTGTAGTCATTGTAGGACTCCCACCACCAAGGCACCATTGTATTCTCCTCCCATTCTCTCCCTCCCTCTCTGAAAGCAACAGATATATAGTCAGATATCAAGGGTGGTTTTAAAGTTTGCCTGTCTGATCCTTTGTTTTTTCTATTTTCCAGCTATACTCTCCATTATTTATCTTTCTGGCTTATTTCGCTTAGCATAATCCTTTCCAGCTCCATCCATGTTGTTGTAAATAGCATGCAATTATATTTTTTGAATACTGAGTAGTATTTCATTGTGCATATATACACCAAATTTTAATGGTTTTCTTTCGTGGGCATTTAGGTTATTTACACGGTTTTGTTATTATAAATAATGCCGTGATAGACATAGGCATGGAGGTTTCCTTTTGAATCAGTGTTTTTGTGTTCTATTTTTTAAAGATTGATTTATTTATGCATACAAGAACTGGGGTATAGGCCAGAGGTGCAGGGTGTGAGAGGATTCACCAGAGACAGAGTGGGGAGCAAAACAGGCAGATCTACTAAAATGCACTGCTGAGGGGAGCAGTGGGTGAGGCTGGAGAGGACTGCTGCGCCCTGTGGGTTTCTTCTGGCTGGCCAGGGATCAAACTCATACAGTGGCTGGTGATAGCTTGATAGCACTGTCTTTAACCCCTGCACCACCAGGGAGGTCTTGTTTTTGTATTCTATGGGTAGATACTTAAGGGTGGAATTGCTGCTTTGTATGAAAGACCCATTTGCAGCCTTTTGAGAAACAGCCACACTGCTTTACATAGGGGCTGGATGAGTCTACATTCCTACTAACACTATCAGAGGTTTCTTTTTTTTACACACATTTGCCAGCTCTTATTTCCGTACTTTTGCTATGGGCCATTCTTACAGGTGTGAGGTGATCTCATTGTGGTTTTGATTGGCATTTCCCTTATGATAAATGGTGATGAACATTTTTTCCTTGTGCCTATTGGCCATCTGTATGTCTTTGGAGAAGTGCCTATTTAGTTCCTCTGCCCAAATTTTGATTGGGTTATTTTGTTTTCTTTTTTGCTTATGTATGAGCTCTTTGTAAATTGTTGATATCAGCCCTTTTCAGATGTGTAATATGCAAATGCTTCCCTCCATTCAGTGGGGTGTCTCTTCATTTTAGTTATGGGCTCTTTTACAATGTAGACGCTTTTAAATTTTACTCAGTGTTTGAGTATCTGATGACTCATAAATTTGAGGTTGCTTCAAATATTGAGTCCATTTAAATTATTAAAAATTCGATGAAATAATGAAGATATAAAAGGAATAGTAAAATAAAAAATGTATAACCTTTCTTACAAAAAACAAACAAACTTAACATATTTCCCAAATATTTTTACTCCTCCAAGTGGTACGAACTATATCTATTATAAATAAATTTTATCAATGTTTTTATTGTTATGTTTCCAATATTCTATAACATCCTCTAACAAAAAACTTCTCAATCACAGATCTTCTGATTGCATATCTGGAGACGTAATAATAGCAGTGACTTAAATGATTTTAAAAGAGTGATCCACCATGTTTTCATCTTAAAAGCTATTAAATAAAACCAAAAATTTTAGAGTCAAAAGCAAAAGAAAATAGTATCATTTGTCCGAGCCTAATACTAACAACTGAGTTCATACGAGGAAAGTCAAGTGTAGATTAAAGAATCCAAAAAAATACAACTTTGTCCATTTGTCAGTAGTACTTTTTTTAGCTTTTTCTCCTAAGAAATATCATTCAAGTGATTTAAAAAAAATAGCATTTTGATCATTAATACTGTCATATTTGTGAAAAAAGTTAACATCATTATTTGTATAAATATTTTATAAGGCTATATTGCTATTTTCAGTTTTGGGATAGGATATGGATTATCTCTCCGATAAGGTACAGAGGAATAATGCAAAAGGCAGCTCTAGACTTCACACCCCTTAAAACATATTTGGCTGTCTGTTCCTTTGGAAATTTTTGTATCGTTTTCTGAAGTGGAATAAGTAGAGGTGTCATACTTACAAACCTCACCACCCACTCACTTTGAGCCAGTGAGGCTGACCTTTTTTCACAGAATGGAGATAACACCAGCATTTAAAGCAGTGTAAATGTAGCTTTATGCAGTATGAAGAGAACTCAGATGATGGGTCAAATTACTCAGATTAATCTTTTTTTTTTAAGATTGATTTTTTATTTATACAAGCACTGGGTACAGTCAGAAGCGCAGGGGGGTGAGAAAATTCACCAGAGCCAGAGCGGGGAGCAGAACAGGCAGAAGAACTGAAGTTCACTGCTGAGGGGAGCAGCGGGCATGGCAGGAGAGGTCCGCGCACCATGTGGGACCCTCGCTGGTGGCTGGGGATGGAACTGGCACTGCAGAGGCTGCGGCAGCTTTGCAGCCCAGCACTCAACCACTGCGCCACCAAGGGAGGCCCACTCAGATTAATCTTTATGGAATTTTGCTCTGAACTACTACTCTAAGTATATTTTATAGTCATAAACATACTTAATCCTCAGAACAAACTTAGGAGGTAGATTATTATATTTCATATTAATGATGTGGAAATTGAGACAGATACTATTTAATTTGCTCAAAGTTATGTAACTAATGAGTTGAAGAACCTGAATTTAAAAAGTAGCCTGAATTTTATTAATAGCTCAATAAAACTACTAAAATTGATCAAATTTTATTTTTCTTTTTCCTACAAGTAAGCATGTATTGTTTTGTTCTCTTGGTATTTAAAGATTACCACTTTGATCTATCTGTGCCTAGAAATTATAAAAACAAAGGCCACACCCTTTATCAGTTAGGAAAAAAAATATGTATAGGCCAGATTTAGGAAATAAAAAAGCTTTTTTATTCTTTTAGAAAGAGAAATACAAGAATAGTTTCCATTTTAAATTGTGTATGATCTAGTACAATGATCTTTGAAATTTAAGACCTGTGTATCCTATAGGTAAGCAAAAATTAACTTGTGCTTTTAATATTACTTTAAAATACATAGAGTCACATATGCTGTTGGACATATACCTTTTATAAAACTCAAAAATAAAACAGTAAGAAGGATGACATAAAATGTATCTAAAGAGAGACTGAAAATATCTCCTTTGTGTGTCCTGATGAACCTTATACACAGCACAGTGGAAGGAATCCTGGTGAGGAGTTAAAAACTAGACAATCTCAGAACAATTGGCCTGCCAGAAGCATTTAGTCTATAAAGAGGTTGGACAATCATTTAAACACTGAGCAAATACACATGGAAATTTGGATTTCTACCATTTTCTAGAAAATCAAAAGACCTGGCAACACTGGCTTACATATCCATGTGACAACCATTGACAGAACTTGAGCACCATCTGGTCTCTTTAGACAAGCCCTGCACCACATAATTTATCACAGCCTTTGCCATCACCACTATTGTCTCCTTAGGCTAATTAGCTCCCTTTTTTTGTGCTTGCCCCCCACGGAAGCTCTGAATTAAAGACTCAGAGTCCCTATCCCTATTCTACCATGATCCATAAGAGGGTCATTTTTAGTAATTCCATATGAATAATTTCTTTGGTTTAAAAAAGAAACTGAGCACATTATTCTTTCAATAATTCTTGCGTGCTCCCTGGTCACCAATATCTCATTCAAATTCTTCACCTACTGGAAGCTTAGGAATTGAAATGTTATCCATCCAAATGTTTCAAAGGACATAAGTGGTAAACATTAATGGTTTATCCTTACTCTTATTTGGGAAAATTAAGTCAAAATCATCATTCTACAAGAAAATAATTAGCATTTTAATGATAGGTTCCTTCTTATTCATTGTGACACAAATACCTATTGAAATTTTCATGTAGAATGTTAACAATGAGGTACCATCTTCAATTGTTATAGAATAACTTATACTTTATATCTGAATTGTGCTATAGACAAGATACATTTAATAACATAAACTGATGCACAGGATTCATTGATGTAGTGTCAGGTTTTTAAAGGGTGCATGTAATTCTGATATCAGTATTGTAACTTCTCAATGAACTGAATTACAAATTAAATAACAGAAAAGATATTTCTCTTAGAGATTGCTTGTCTACAAATTTATGTAGATAAACAGTTTCAGTGCATTAAACAGGCATATTACTTCATGAATGGATTGTTGGCACAGGTAATTAACTATGAAGTTATTAGGCTTTTCTGTTCTATGACAGTTGACTGCAGATTAATGAACTTGTCAAATGTTTCTTTCTCTTATTATTTCAGATCTGTCCTGAGTGGAATTTGATAAAAGATGTTTAAAAAATTTTACCCCTGGAAATGTACCCCTGCAGGGATTGTCCTGAGCATTTTCTTCGCAATCTGCATGGGACAGTATGATGATGGTAAGTCTGCTTTTAGTCTGACCTTAAGAGTTTGCCAGGATTCCTGTAATAAATGGAAAACAAACACCAGAGAAATGAATAATGATAATTTGTAGTTCATTTTTAAAGATTATTAGCACCATACAATAATTTACCTTCATTGAAATTATTTTACAGAAGTGGCATTCAATATATTTTATTCCTTAAAAAGGTCTACAGTATGGTAGAAAATACAAAATGAGTCTTATTTGAATACTTTCTCATTCTTACTAAGCAAATGTTAAATTGATATAAGAAACATAGTAAATTATATTTACTAGTCCTTGAATAAACAGAAACAATATTCTCAAATAAGGTTTAGGGATAGAAAACATTCTGACATTTCCTGTGAGAAAAGATCTCAAAAGGGGTCAAAAGTAGACTGTGTAAGTGATTTTAATATTAGAACTTGAATTGGGTATTATATAATCCCTCACTATTTTATTTGGAAAGAGTGGGGAAAATGTAAATATCTGAAATGAGAAATTGCAAGTTATTTCCTGACATGAAGTCATTCACTCTAGCGCTCTAGTCATCAAGCTCCTAAGGAACCATTCAACATGTTAAATACAGTGACCCAAATATTCCTATATTAGATATTTTCATATTGAAGGATGCTTGCTTTGAATACCATATAATGAGGGTTGGGATGTATATACTACCTTAAGTTTCATGAGAGTAAAGCATGGATAAAATTCTCCATCCTATGTTTGCTATTCAAGAAAACTGAGTTTTGTCCTTTTAAGAATTTTTACTGTATTTTTTTTTTGTTTTCTTTTTACTTTTCATTATATTTATTGACATTTGTTTGGCATTCAGCGTACATAGGCAAGTAACCATCTCCTCACCCTTGTTGCCTGTTATATAGTTGTTCTTAGTAGCAGTAAAGAATCTGAGTTTGTTTTATGCTTTGCGTATAGATTGAATGATCTGAAGATAAGATGAATTAATGTGAAACTATCCCAAACAGTGTTCAAATGGTACACATTTTAGGACTTTCTCTGTCCTCTAAAGTCAGAAAAATATATGCTTATTTTGGAATTTGCAGAAAAATTCACAATAGCAACTATTTTCATAAAGTCAGCAGCCTATTTCTCTGAAAAACTGTGCTGATTAGCAGAGTGTTTACTTCAAGTGCATTTGAAGTTAATGTTCATGGTATTATTTATAAATATTGTGAATATCTAGTGAAAATACAAATTTTAAATAGTAATGATAAATACATAATGTATATGCTACTTTGAAACAAACAAGAACCAATGAAATTTAAAAAAAAAATGTCTTTACATTAAAAGGATGTTTTAATTTTATCCCCCAGAATAGATCTTAAATCAGTGTGTCAATATTTATTTATGTTATAAATCATTTTTAAAATTAATATTTTGTGTTCATACTGAGCAGGAAAGAATTTATTGCCATTGTTCACATTTAACGTTTACAAACCCAGTGCTTTTTAGGAGTATGATTTAAGTTGTCATAGAACATCACTCTTGGTTTAACCTGTAATGTTATATAAATTGGTTTCATTAATAAATACATTATAGCTCTGGTCTTTCTAAATGTACTCTTCTAACCTCCAAAGTAAGATTACCAGGTCACTTCTGGCCATTATGTAGTCTGATTTTTGAAGCTGAGTGAAAATTCACACTACCAAGTGATAGCATTGTGTTCAGTAGGGTTATCCTCTAAAGTTGGGGATGATTCCCTAACAGTCACAGTTAGATTCCCTAAGAGCCACCTCAATTGTCTCTTTCTGGAAATAATTCCTAGGAAAGTTTAAGGGACAGATACTGCTGCAGAAAAATATGCATTTTATGCAATGTTTTATATGGATTTCTTAACTTGCTATGCTCTCCATCATTGCTTGCATACTTGCAAACTTCAGTGCTTCCCACAGTGGTAACATATTCTTTTCTCTAAGGTCTTGCTCCAAGTATTTACCTCTCTCTGATCTCCCTCAATTAAGGGTTCTTTGACATCACTTTCATTCAATTATTCAGTTATTTATGTCTGTGAACAGTTAATGTTTTTTAAAAATTCATATAAAATTGGAGTCCGTGCTATGCAGAATTAAAATCAGATCTTGGAAAAGAATAGCTAATACATAAAAGAACACTAAACTAAAATATGTAACATGGATTTCTTGAAACTTTTTATCTAAATGTGTGGGTATGCAGGTGCTTGGTTAGATTGAAGATGAAATAAAATTGAAGGAGTGATGGTCATAAACATGAGAGACATGAAAGAAAAAGTAAAAATGAAAAGTATAATTTTTTGATTGATAAGCTGCTGGTTAGATTACCCCATTATGATATCTGATAACTAATTAACACACAAAGTAAGTTAACATAAAGATAAGTGGAGAAAATGTTTACATTACGAAAAGGCTATTTGCATAATAGGCTAGTTTTTCTTTAAAAACTAGGATTCGTGGGCCTCCCCAGTGGTGCAACAGGTTGAGCGCAGTGCTGTGAAGCTGTCTGCAGGCAGGTTTGAACCCGGGCTGCCAGGGAGATGCCCACATGGCGCAGCAGACCTCTCCTGTCTCGCCCGTTGCTCCCCTCAGCGTGCTTTCGTCCATCTGCCTGTTCTGTTCCCTGCTCTGTCTCTGGTGAATCCTCTCACCCTCTCGCATCTCTGGCCTGTACCCCAGCTCTTGTATAAATAGAATAAATCTTTTTTTTTAAAGATTTATTTATTTATTTCTACAAGCACTGGGTACAGTCAGAAGCACGGGAGGAATTCTCATGAATTCACCAGAGTCAGAGCGGAGAGCAGAACAGGCAGAAGGACAGAAGTACACTGCAGAGGGGAGCAGTGGGCAGCAGGAGAGGTCTGCGCACCATGTGGGACCCTCCCTCGGTGGCCGGGGATTGAACCGGCACTGCAGAGGCTGTGGGCAGCTTCGCAACCCATCGCTCAACTGCTGCGATACCAGGGAGGCCCTAAATAGAATAAATCTTAAAAAAAAAAAAAAATAAATAAAAACTAGGACTAGGATTCTTCTCAACTTTTAATTAAAATATTTCCTGTGTTTTGCTGTGCATTTTCTTACTTAGTTATATGGGAGTTGAAAGAAAAAAATATTATATTGTTTATTTAATGAATACTTTATCCTGAAATGAAATAGTCTAGTGTCACCCAACTCTATAAAACTGCTTCCTAGAAAAAATATATAATTATTATTTCTAATATTTTATAACAAAATTTTTACTTAAAGCTTTGTCTAAGTGGGCCTCCCTGGTGGTGCAGCTGTTAAGTGCTGGGTTGCGTAGCTGCCCGCAGCCTCTGCAGTCCTGGTTCACGATCCCCTGCCCCGGGGCTGGGGTCCCACATGGTGCACAGACCTCTCCTGCCGCCCGCTGCTCCCCTCAGCAGTGTATTTCCTCAGTCTGCCTGTTCTGCTCTCCGCTCTGGCTCTGGTGAATTCTCTCACCCTCCCTTACTTCTGACTATACCCAGTGCTTGTATAAATAAATAAATAAATCTTACACAAACAAACAAACCAAAAAAAAAAACTCTGACTAAGTTTTGAGTTGTTTTTATATTTCTTATTTGAATTGCTGGTTAAATCTTTAGATTTAGTAATAAAATATATAGATGACCTATTCCGTAATGAAAATTTAATGTGTTTGGTGACTATATTGTATCTAAAGATGAATTAGTAACGTAAGTGATCTTAATAACATTGCACTGAAAAAAAAAAATAGTCAGTATTTACCTAAGTAATAGAAGACTAGAAAAATGATAGATTTTTAATATGGTGTTTTATTATCCACCACCTTATAATAGGAGAACATTGGGGTTAATATTTTAGTTTATATTTTAATGCGTTACCAAGCATCAGAATTTTATTGAATGGGCACATATGCTCTGCCCTAAAGGGAATATATGCCCTGGCCCCAAATATACTGTGGGGTACCTGGAAAGGATTCAGGTCCATCTTCTCTTTTATATAATTTTTAAAGATTTATTTGATTTATTTATGCATAAATAAACTGGTGCATAAATAAATAAGCATGGCTCTCATGTTTATGACCATTACTCCTACAAGAACTGGTGTGTAGGTCAGAGGTGCATGGAGTGAAAGATTCACCAGAGTCAGAGTAGCAAACAGAACAGGCAGATCTACTGAAATACACTGCTGAGGGGAGCAGTGGGCAAGACAGGAGAGGTCTGCTGCACCATGTCGGTTAGCTCCTTGGGTGGGGATCGAGCTCATGCCAGAGTGGCTGGCAATAGCTTGATAGTACTGAGACTTAACCCCTGTGCCACCAGGGAGGCCCTTCTCTTTTATGTCTTATGTGAAGTAAAAAATGTGTAAAACCTAGCCTTTGTTCACACATATTATTTTTACAGTGAGGTAAATAGACCAAGATGCCTATATGTCTATAAGGTCTGTGTTTTTATTATTTTCACTTTGATTTTGATTTCATAAATGAATGATAAAAGAAAGATGAGCGAGGATAAAGAAATGATGATATATCCCGGCATATATGTATGTGTGTGGTGTGTGTGTGTGTGTGTGTCTATACACACGCACACACATACCCCAGTATATGTGTGTGTTAGAGAGATTCCCTAAATGTGCACAGGAAATATATATATATATATATATATATATATATATATATATGTATGTATATATACATATATATATATATCTCATTCCATATTATTTTCATATTATATATATGGTATGTTTTATTTTTACTTTATGTTATTTTCTCTGCATTTTCAAGTTGCCCATATAAATACATATCACCTCTATATTCAGATAGGAAAAGTATTTAAAAAATATACATGTGTCATAATATCAAGCAGTTTGAAAGGTATTTTAAAATGTGTGTGTGTGTGTGAGTGTGTGTGTGTGTTAGAGAAACAAAGAGAGAGAGACAGAGATATACCCTAAATGTGTGCAGACCATCAAAGCCAACATGACTTTATTAAGGAAAGGGTTCTCCCTGGCTGCTCAAGCATTT